ACCCCTCATTTTCTCATCATTGAAAAACACTCACTCACTAAATCACTCACTCACTTGGCTTAGATATTCTAGAAACGGAAAGGTCTTAAAGCAATATTTCGCAATACCCCCTTTTTTCTACACCCTAGGTCAAACACGCCAGCTGACTGTTTATTGAACTGTAGAGCTGATTCAACACAACAGTAATACATGATAAACAATCATTGTTAAAAAGGTCTTTCGCCTTCCATGGGTATATTGTATCAACAAATAACTTTACACTTTCTACATTATCTGTGACTTGAAATGAATTGCAAATGAGAGTGGACTCACTATTTTTCTGCCTGACTTATATGTTCCATTCCTTCATTGATTTTCTTTTCGGAGGCCGCCATCTTGTTTGTATCTGACCCCCTAGCCTGGACAATACGAGATGTTGTGACCCCCTAGAAGAACGAACCATCATTTCAACAAGCTAAAAGGTTACGAATATGTACAACGATTTTGTTTTACTACAGAATGTGTAAGATTTAGCCCGGGCTCGTTTGACATCAGTTTAAACAAAATATTTAAAAATACGCACACTCAAAAATGTTATGCAAATGAGCCAGTGTCACTTATGACGTAGGTGGCAGCCATTGAAGAGCAGCTGCTGATGACAGGTCTCAGAGTTTTAAACAAAAACAAGAGAACTGGTGATCATTGTGAACCATAACTGCCTCAGCACAAAGGCTGTTGTGTGATACCAGGGAATGTAAAGGGAAATGTATTGTAGTGTTACCTCTGTAATTTACAATATATTTGCATTAACCTTCACTATTAAGGACAAAATTGGGAGTAGAAGCAAGGCTACGCAAATTTGCGAATTAGTAGTTAGTTAGAATAACCAGACATTGTGAGGAATAAAGAAGTGGCTTATTAGTCCCGCTCGGACGAAGTCCGTAAACGGGGACTTATAATTCGATCTCCGTCCGTGCGTCCGGAGTCATATCTCAGAATCCCTTGGACCGATTCCATTCATTCTTTGCATGTGTCTAGTACTTTATGTGGGACATATGCACATGCAGTGGTTTAGCGATTCGATTCAAAATGGCCGACTGGCAGCCATTTGGTTTTTTGAAAATGTTGTATTTTGGACATGCTTTGTCAGTTTTCATTCAAACTTGGTACATAGATTATACATGTTAGGATACATGTCATTGACGATTTATTTCTCAATTGGATCAAAGATGGCCAACTGGCAGCCATCTTGTTTTTTGAAAATGTTGTATTTTGGACATGCTTTGTCAGTTTTCATTCAAATTTAGTACATAGATCATACATATTAGGATACATGTCCCCGACCGTCCGCGAGTTCCAGAGTCTGGCCTTCCGTCCGTGTGTCCCTCCGTTCGTGTGTCAGTCTGTCCAGAGTCATATTTCAGAATCCTGTGGGCCGATTCCGTTCATTTTTTGCATGTGCCTAGTACCTTATGTGGGACATATGCACATGCAGTGGTTTAGTGATTCGATTTAAAATGGCCGACTGACACCCATCCTGTTTTTTAAAAATGTTGTATTTTGGACATGCTTTGTCAGTTGTCATTCAAACTTGGTATATAGATTATACATGTTAGGATACATGTCCATGACGATTTATTTCGCAATTGGATCAAAGATGGTCGACTGGCAGGCATCTTGTTTTTTTATGCGGTGTCTTGGACGTGCTCTGTCAGTTTTCATTCAAATTTGACACATACATGTACTTTATACATGTTACGATGCATGTCCATGACAATTTGTTTCAAAATCTGGTC